TGGCATAGGGATTTCCGCATGGGTAAAGTGTCCTCATTGGAGGACTCAGAAAGCTCAGAATACATGGTTAAAGAGTAGTGGTACTAGTAAAATATAAATCGCAATGGAATAAAATGGAATAGAGTTAGTTTAGGGTGTTCACAATTAAGGGTATATGCATTGATGTACGGAAAAACAGTTATAAAGGGTCAAAATGCGAACTTATTGATCCACGACAGATTTTCAGCCACGCGCGGTTAAGGACCATGGGTAATCGAACGATATCAGAGATAGGTCCAGGGAGTGCGACAGCTTACATCCCTCCCGCTTAGGTGACCCGTAAAAGAAAATGACTGTGAGTATGTAAGGTTATTTGTCCTAAGAAATTGGGATGTGGAAGGGGAATGGACACCTTGGAAATTAAATTAAAGGAGGAGCAAAGATAAGTTACAAGGGGGCTGGATGCATGGATGCTAGCGTGACCCATTTGATGCGCTTTCTGGGAACACTCTGGAAACAGTGTGTCCCAAAATGCATCGAGCATTTTTTCAGGGCGTGCACGCTGCCACAGTTGACTATCTCATTTGTCAGCTTCTTCCAGCCGTTGGTGATACGCAGCGAGANCCTGATTGTTCTGTATACCCTTGGTTTCTTCAGTTTAAGGCTGTGGCCATGCCTTCTCTGGTCCTCATCTAGCTCAAAGCGATGTCTTGTACCTTGCGAATAACCCTTGAGGATTCTGCAGGTTTCAATTAGATCACCTCTAAGCCTACAACACTCCAAGGAGAACAGACCGAGTGCTGGCAGCCTTTCAGCGTATGTTAGTCTCCTTAGGAAACGGAACATTCATGTAAAACTGCGTTACACCTTCTCCAGGACCAGTTTCTCCCGCACTAACACTAATGCCCACGCTTGGACACAGTACTCTAAGCTTGGTACAAAGGGACGAGGACCTCTGGGTCTCTAGAGGATACCGTTCTGCGCAGCCCGTACAGTGCTGCATTTGCTCTGCGAGCAGCTAGGGAGCACTGGCGTGAAGATGAGAACGTTGAATTTACGGTAATCCCAAAATCCCTCACCTCGGTGCTTAGCTCGATTGCTTTGCTCGTGGATCGCTCGTAGTCAGGTCACAGGACTTTAGGCTTCGGCCGGTAGAAGTCCAGGTTCTTGCACTTGTGAGCTGGTGATTTCCACTGTGCTGCGACTGCCAGGTAGTTCCACAGTTGTGATGGGTGTTGTACCTACAAGGGAAGAGATGAAGAGCAGGATCGCCCTCGGGGTAACAGCTGTCTGAATCATTCGACAGGCGCCGCACCTCAACGGAATGCTACTTCTGCCATGAGAGCTTTCTGGGGGTTGATGACAGAAAAAACTTTTGTGTTAATTGTGCGTGAGGTGCGTGATGCAAAGGAGTGATCGTAGAAATAGGCAACGGCTAAAAAAGGAGGATGTGGGTAATGATTAAGACTTGTACTAGTCACACTCTGGAAACACATCGTCCCAGCATTTGTCTATTCTCCGCTTGAATTGCAGAATATTAGAGGCTGCTAAGACTGTAAGTGGAAGTTTGTTTCATGCGTTTATCACGGAGTAGGAGAAAAACTGTGCCCTAGCAATTCCGTTGGCTCGTGGTTTCATCAGCCCTCTGAAGGTTGGGTTGAGAGTTCGTGTAAACAAC